GAGCCTCGCGGAGAGAGGGGACTAGGAGGCACATCAGGTGGGTTAGGCCAGGCAGCAGGAGGAATGGGGGAAAAAAAAGACCACCCATTGGGAAAAAGCCTAAAGCACTCAAGGCTGGCTTTACACCAGCTGGGTGCATATGCCATTAACATCTGCTAATGTTCCACCACGCAACTTCCCCCACCTTTCCACTTTCCACGTACGGACACGAATAAAGGAGGGTTTAACAAAAAAAAAAGGAGCGCAATGAAAAACGGCGTCCATTCGAAGTTGGAACCAGGCAAACGCTGAATAGGACTCGATTGGAATTGGAGCCCAATTAGAGTCCATTCATCTCTGAAAGAATAGTTCTCATCCCCCCCCCACCCCCACCTCCACACCCCCACACAACTGCATGTGGTTCCAGCCAGATATGCCACAGTGTTATTTGCAGATTTTCTCCAGAAACAATTCCAGGGGAAAAAAAAAATTCAAAGCGCCACTTAAGTAAAAACAAGATTCTTTTCTTCTCTCCAAAGCTTCCTCTGTGGAGAGCTGATGTAATGATATCCAGACACATGTACCGCGCGGGGACGTGTGAGGAATGATGCACTACAGTTCAGTTCCTGGGACATTTACATACTCAGTCAGTGGGAGTATTAAAGGAACAATTTGTTCCTGCATCTCTGCACGACTTTCAGAACAATGGGCTTACTTTAATACCAACAGCATTCAAATTTACCTCCCCCCCACCACCACCCCCACCCTCAAAAGAGGAAACACACAAACATGGAAACTTAGAATAAATAAATAACAAGGCAACGTTCCCTTATCATCAATTGCACCACGCACACAGAGAAACAAACACCTGTGAATTTCTAAAGCCATTGGCAACTCGATCCGTCTCAACTCAGTTTCTACCCAAGACGCTGCCCCACGTGAAGGGTGCTATACAAATGCAAGTTGGTACTGTTATACTCAGTTTACCTAGCAGTAAATAGGAACCTGGCTGTCAGTTGATTGGCGGATCGCTTTCTGGGGGGTAATAATCTTCTAAAATAATAATATCACCGAATTCACGCCTGTTTGTGGGACACTGCTGTGCGCAATGGGCTGCTGCGTTTTGCCCACATAATATTCAGTCAATCCATTTGACAGTATATTCTGGGAAGTGCTTTGAGACTTCTCTATGACATAATAGGGCACTATATCAAATGCAAGGATTATTACCCTCTTACTGCTTTGAAATTCATTTTCTCACTTTTCTGATATTACAACTGATATACCGTTGCCTAAATTAAATTAAAAAAGGATTTTCTGCCATAGTTTCTCTGCAACTGGCCAGATGCAGGAGACTCTCTCACACTTATCAGTTTGGCAACTGCCCGACTGAATGGACTCACACCACAACATCTGAGGACACTGCAAGTCAAAGCATCTATACCTTAGGGGTTAGAGCACTCGTCTAGCAAGTGGGAGGACTTGGCTTCCATTCCCCAGCAGGGAGAAACGTTAGACAAGTTTCCTTACTCCAAACTTCTCTGGTTACCGAGCAGTTAGTAGGAACCCAGTTCTTAGTCGATTGGCGGATCGCTTTTCCAGGCTCAATAATCCCTTCAAAAAAAAAATAATAATTTGGTCCCGTCGAGAGATTGGCTTTGGACGTTGGATATTCCGTTAAATAAATACAAACAAACATTTTGCTTCCTCTATGAATGCTGCCCCCTGGTATACATTTTTCCACCCTCAGTCAGGAAGCCAGTACAGTCTAGACCACAGACTTCACCACAGCCGATGTCGAACCCTGTTCTGCAGTCAATTTGGTTCATCTGGCAAAGCTGGTGCACATACTGTTCTCAGAGTTTAACATAATAAAATTCAGATTTTTACTTAACAAAACTGATTGATCTTGACTGCGATGGAAGCATGCAAAAAGGGCTCAACTTTACACTGGGTATATTCAATTGAACAGACTAAATTGCTGATTATGGATAGCAAATGTTTACGTGTTAAAGTGCGATCCCTCAACACCCAAACGCATCCTCCAGCTGGTCAACATTCTGATGATAATAATAATCCTTGCATTTGATATAGCGCCTCATCACGCCTCAAAGCGCATCGCAGCATATACTGTAAAGTGAATGAACTGTATATTTTGTGGGCAAAACCCGGCAGCCGATTGGCACAGTTTTATATCATTCCACCACGATCAATCGATTCCCCCATTTCAGTGTTTCACAAAAAGGCCAAACGCCTCGAAACTAAAACGTTTTTCCAATTATACTCCGGAGTGTGCTGCTGAGAATTAAAAATGAAATAAAAAATGTACATTTGCTGCTTTAAACAAAGCCATCTACTGAATTTTCCTCTCCCCCCACCCACCACCACCCCTCTCAACAACAAAACACACTGAACAAATCCGAGCTGAAGAAAAACACAGCGTATGGAGGAAGCTGCAGCTTAATTAATTTCCACTTCGATTTTCAGTTGGAACAGTTACTGGGCAAAACACCGGAATAAAATGAATATCCTGAAAAATCACCAACCAGCAGCAGACAAGAGATCTTTGCACACACACAATCAATGTGGAACTCAAGCTTTGCTTTTGCTAATAATGGCTGAAATGTCTCAACTCACATAACCCTTGTGTGTCATCGCTTTGCACAAATATTGTGGACTCTTTCAGATCCTGTGGTGGTGAGTGACCGTCAAGACATGTAACCTTCAGTAACCTACCTGGAAGCACTAAACGAACGCCACCATTCTGAACCTTTCTAATGTAATGCAAAGTACAGCAAGGACAAAATGAGAAGTCCAGCTGTGTTGCTGGTCGTTCCGATGCACCAGTTAAATTACAGATCAAAGGAAGATGGGGGGGGGGGGGGGAGGGGGCAGAGAGAGTGAGGGGGGTGGGAGTGGGCAGAGAGTGCGAGGGAGGGGGATGGAGGGAATGTAACATTCCATGTAACTGATTCTGCTGGAATTGATCCATTCGCTATGTACAGAGTATAGCTGCTTGGTTGAGTCGTGGGTGTGCGTGGAGGGTGGGGGGGGGGGGGGGGGGGGGGGAGAAAAGAGTGCAAACTACCAGTCCTTCCCCTCTTCTCCATCCCACCACAACCCCCATCCCCCGCACACAATTAAGAGGTTCTGACAACACTAGTGTGAAGAACTGGTTAGTTAAGAAACAAAAGTCATCTGAAACCTAACGTGTGGGTCAACATTTCCCTGCATTGGCCACAATCCTTCCCAACCTTCACATGCTTTACTTTGCTGCAATAGCTTCAGATCTCCCCAACTACAACTGCAGCTTCCTATGTAGCTGTCTGCATGCACCAGCAACACTCTAGTCTATAGCACTCTCCAGGTCCGTGCTTTTATGCTATCGCTGCTAATTCCCCCAACCTGTTCAGGGTTCCCATCTTGTCAAGTTCTGCCAAACCTGACAGCACGGGGAGGGAATGAGGCGGTGGGGGAGAGAAGAGGGGGAGGCAAAGATATGGCCCCGAGTGACCAAAACGAGACGGCTTCTGGTGAGAGATGCCATTGGGATACTGCAAGGTTGCCGTTTGCAGGGTTTCACTGGAATATTTTTTTCTTGTTTCGGTTTGTCACGCATAATAAAACACCTTCTTGAAACAGCACGAAGCGAGCCAAGCCTTGCAGGTAAAGCTCAAAGCTTATAGGCTTGATCACTGCATTTTTAAGTCGATTCTCTCTCTCGCTCCCTTTCTTTCCCCTCTCCCCCACTGCCTCCCCCCCCCCCCCCACCCCCACGCACAGAAAAGTTGCATGTATAAATGATCACGCCAGAAGTGTCCTGTTGCTTGAATAGCTTCATTTGTTTTACTCTATGCCTCCCATAAAAGGGTTTGTGGTCAGTGTCACTGAAACACACTGAGAGGGGGGGGGTGGGTGTGGGTGAGAGGGAAGGTGGGTGTGGCTGGGGGTGGGGGGAGCACAGGGTGGGGGGTGTGTGTGTGGTTAGGGGAGGACTGTAGGGGGCTGGGGGAGAGGAGGGGGGGGGTGATTGGGAGAGACAAAGGCTGTGGGTGGGGGAGAAGAGGGGTGTGGGGAAAAAGGAGGGGGTGGGGAAAGAGGAAGTGGGTGGGGGAGAGGGAGAGGGAGAGACAGAGGAGGTGGGTGGGGAAGACAGGGTGGGTGTGGGGAGACAAAGTGGGTGGGTGTGTAGGGGGGGGTGGAGACAGAGTGGGTGGGTGGGGGGGGACACAGAGTGGGTGGGGGAGACAGAGTGGGTGGGTGGGGGGAGACAGAGTGGGTGGGTGGGGGGGGAGACAGAGTGGAAAGAGAAGCTCTGCATTGAATGGGAAGTCACCATTCAGAGACATGGCGTCTTTTAACTTTTATGTAATTGCAGTTTCAAAGCTGCAAAACGTAATAACATTGAGGAAATCGAGCTGAGCTGATGGGGAGCTGCAGCCTACGCCTCTCATATATAAATTTTTTTTTTTTTTGGGGGGGGGGGGAAGAGAGATTGAGAGAGAGAGAGAGAGAGAGAGAGAGAGATCCAGCTCAGTGAAATCTGCTACCCATTACAGGCAAGGAAGAGGGGGGAGAGGGGGAGTGTGTAAGAGAGGGAGAGAGAGAGAGAGAATTTGCAGTGTCTGGAGCTCTCTGGTCGCTATAACTAACCCAACCCTTTGACTTGTGGCATTTTTTTTCAACACAAAATACCTACTGGGATGGCACATTTCACCTTAAAAAATATCATTTGCATCTTGACTGTCAGCTGCCCTCAAACACACACACACACACACATATATATATATATATGCATTAATTAATTTAAAATCTGAATTAAAATTAAACCCTTAAGATTAAACCTTAAACCCTTTTTTTTAAAAAAAAATAACCCCTTCTCCTTTGCATTGGCTGCTGTGTGTGATTTTTTTTTGCGCCCACAGATTACAGTGATGTGCACTGACGTCTCACTGCCCTTAAAACATCATTTTTTTCTAAAAAAAAATGTAAAATATATTAAAAAAAACCTGCAAACTAACCTCCCTCTCCCATCCCTCTGCTGCTGTTGCTTTTTCCTCCCACGGATACAGTGCTCGCACTGACATCTCTCTGCTTTAGCTGTGCTGTCCTCAAACACATATATAAACACATATATATATATATATATATAATTTAAAATAGTCTAAAAAAAAACCCTGGAGAGAGAAACCCATTGCATTGTACCCTCCCTCCTCCTAGTCCTTCGCCTTTGCTGCTGTATTTCTCCCCCCTCCCACAGATAAAAGGCTCACACGAACATCTCCCTGCTCTTAAACTTAAAACATATACACACACACACACATATATATATATTATTCACATACATGGATAGAATTTTTTTTCAACCCCCCCCACCCCTGGAATCAGCCCATTTTAACGTCCTTTCTCCTATTGAAAAGCTGCTCATTTTTCTTTCCCCCAACAACAGATATAAGGTGATGCCCACACTGACATAGCTCTCTGTTCTAACTGCCCTTAAATAAATACACACACACATATATATAAAATGTATATATATATAATACACACATTGTATATACAATATATATACACACACATTGTATATACTAAATATATATACATACATTATGTACACACATACATTGTATATACTAAATATATATGTATACATTGTATATACTATATACACATACGTTATCTATACTATATATACATATACATTGTATATACTATATGTATATATATATATACATGGTATATATATCTAAGGGCAGCTGGAACAGAGGAGGAGGATTAAAAAGGGGTTCGTTTCTCTCCAGGATTATTTTTTATATAAAAAAAACCTATGTTGTATATTATATACCATAACGTGACACCAATAAATAAAAATAAATAAAAACCCTGGAGAGAGAACCCCCCCACTCACCCTCCCTTCCCCCCCTTTTGCTGCTGTGTATTTTTTCCCCCTTCCTATGGATGACAGTGACACTCACACACATGTCCCGTTCCCCCCCCCCGGGGTGGTGTGTGTGTGTGTGGGGAGGGGGTGTGGGGGGTGGTGAGTGTGTGTGTGGGGAGGGTGTGTGGGGGTGGTGAGTGTGTGTGGGTGTGTGTGTGTGTGGGGGGGTTGGTGTGGGGGTGTGTGTGTGTGGGGGGGTGGTGGTGGGGGGGGGTTGGTGTGTGTGGGGGGGTTTGTGTGTGGGGTGGTGGGGGGTTTGTGTGTGGGGTGGTGGGGGGTGGTGTGGGGGGTGTGTGTGTGGGGGGGTGGTGGTGGGGGGGGTTGGTGTGTGTGGGGGGTTTGTGTGTGGGGTGGTGGGGGGGTTGGTGTGGGGTGGGGTTGGTGTGGGGGGGTGGTGGTGGGGGGGTTTGTGTGTGTGGGGTGGTGGTGGGGGGGGGTTTGTGTGTGGGGTGGTGGTGGGGGGGGTGGTGGTGGTGTGGTGGTGGGGGGGGGGGTGGTGTGGGGGGGTTTGTGTGTGGGGTGGTGGGGGGGGTTGGTGTGGGGGGGTTTGTGTGTGGGGTGGTGGGGGGGGTTGGTGTGTGTGTGGGGTGGTGTGTGGGGGGGTTGGTGTGTGGGGTGGTGTGGGTGGTGTGGGGTGTGTGTGGGGTGGTGGTGTGGGGGGTGGTGGTGTGGGGGGGTGGTGTGTGGGGTGGTGTGTGGTGTGGAGGGTGGTGGTGTGTGGGGTGGTGGTGGGGGGGGTGGTGTGTGTGTGGGTTGGTGTGTGGGGGGGGGTTGGTGTGTGGGTGGTGGGGGTTGGTGTGTGGGGGGGGTGTGGGTGGTGTGTGGGGGGGGTGGGGGTGGTGTGTGGGGGGTGGTGGTGGGGGGTGTGTGTGGGGGGTGGTGTGGGGGGTTGGTGTGTGGGGGGGTGGTGTGGGTGGTGGGGGGTGTGTGTGGGGGGGGGGGGGGTTGGTGTGGGGGGTGAGCCCTTACCTGCTGCTGCTCCCCAGCCTCCCGATACAGTGTTGCAGCCGTCTCCCCCCGCACCGCGCATGCGCCGCGTCGCCCCGCCCCCCACACCGCACGCCCCGCCCCCCGCTCCGCCCCCAGCGCATGCGCACTGCTCCCTCGCTCCCTCCCCTCCCCTCCCCATGTCAAGGCACGTGTCGCTGTCAATTGGAGGGAAAGAGGGAGGAAAGGAGGGAGGAGGGAAGAGGGGAAGGAAAGAGGAGGGGGAAGAGGGGGAGGAAAGAGGAGGGGGAAGAGGGGAAGAATGGAGGAGGGAAGAGGGGAAGAAAGAAGAAAGGGGAAGGGGGAAGAGGGGAAGGAAAGAGGAGAGGGGAAGAAAGAAGAAGGGGGAAGAAAGAGGAAGGGGGAAGAGGGGAAGGAAAGAGGAGGAGGGGGATGGAGGGAAGGAGGGCGGGGGAGGAAGATGGGGAAGATGAAGAGAGAGGGAAGGGGGAGGGAGAGGCAGAGAGGGACAAGGAAAGGACACGGAGGGAGGGAAAGAGAAGAAGAGGAGGCGGAGAGAGGGAAAGCGAGGCCACGGTGGGGGGTAAGGAGAGGAAATGGAAGGAGAGAAGCGAAGGAACGGGAGGGTGCGGAAGAGCAGAAGAAGGAAGGAGATACGAAAAGAGGAAGATCGGGGCAAGGGAAATTGAGGGAGGAGGCAAAGAAAGGACATGGAGGGAGCGAAGAGAAGAGGAAGGAAAGAGGGACAGAGAAAGAAGGATATTGGGGGGAAAAAAATTACATTTGTCTCCTTAAACGTCACAGTTTGTCAAAGGCATGATCCACAATAAGTCCCATTGACTGCCACAGATCATTACTAGCGGCTATTACGAGTCCGTTGAACTCTTTAACTGAGTACCAAACGGCAGGAAAACCGCGCACTTAATCATTTTTCGATGCAAATTCAAGCAATAGGCTGCCGGCAACTTCCAAGTAAACCTTAATACCAATACAGCAATTTACAGAGTAGTTTCCCTCAGAAACATTTCCCCTCCCGAAATTTCTTGCGGCAACAGCCCCACAAACGGCGAGATTGGAAATTCATCAACAGCTTCGTGCCCACGAGCATTGTTTTGCTCCAAGTGACACGGAAAGCTTAAGGGCTTTTTTTTTCTGTTCAGCAGACAACTCCCGAATGAACCTAATTTATCCTGCATTATTCCCTGTGTTTTTTTTGGGAGCAAGTAATTCCCTGCTGCGTGGAATTGAGCAGCGGGGTGAAAGAATCAATGCTCGGGGTCCTCCAGTGAGTTAACGGTCACGACAACTTGCGGGGCAGTGCCTCGGAGCGCTTGAATTTCCAGCCGTCGAATTCCGAGTCACTCCCGGAGCTGACGTGCAGCCATTGTGGTGTGTTTGTCACGCAATTCCGTCAACAGGGCTGAAATTAACATCGCCAACGCTCCAGCATTGTCATGGTGTCTCGAGGAGTTAGAGGTTAATGGCACAGACGCTGCCGTGGGCGACCCGGGAGAACAATCGTAGGGAATTCTCAACACGAATATCGAACCGTGAATCGGATTCATCTCTGTACCAGCCTCTCATTTGTTTCGCCCGCAAAATGTACAAGCACTACACTTTACAGTATATTCTGTGAAGCGCTTTGAGACGTCTCGAAGATGTGATAAGGCGCCGTATCAAACGCAAGGATTATTATTATCATTATTAGCCATCCACATTCGGAGATTCTACAATCCAGCCCGTGTCGAAAATGTCAAGGAAACGTGCACTTCTCCCTCTCTCTCAACCATCTTGTTGGTCAACTAGTTCTGCAACTTAGATCTAACGGCCTTAAAGTCAGCGTTGTCTCACTTCACAACAGTGACCGAATGTAACCCGGGCTCGTGAGCGATCACCAGCATTTTACACCCTCGATAGGAACAGAACCGTTTTTTTTTTTTAAATGGACGATTTTTGAAATGCTCCGCGGTGAATTTGTTTCGGAATAGCTCAGAACTTACACGGAATTGCGTCATCTGATGACACCTCCGAGAATACAATACATCCAACCAGATGCTGGCAACCCTAGCTGAAATCAGCGCCTGGGGACATCCTCCCGACGTGAAAGGCGCGTTATGTTCAACGCCACTTGTTGTTGGTGTTGAAATGGCTTTGAGAGAACCAGGTTATAAATTCGAAATCTTTACACGGAACTTCTAATGTTTAATGATGAGCGCAATCGGAAATACTTAGCTTCATGTTGCTCGGCCACAAAGGCGAGGGATGGGTTCATAGAACAGTGCAGCAGTAAAGCTGAACAAAGAGTTACAGTGAAATAAGATAAGTCAAGAACCAGTAGGATGGACGATCGTAAGTTTGCACGTTAAAGCCTATAGATTGTTTGAGGGAGGAAAGTGGAAAAGAGACAAATAATTCCACAATCTAGAGGTACTAAGGGGTAATGGGTGGATGGGAGACTTAGAGTAGGAGTCATACGTTGGATGGATTTTGATTTCAACATTGTCGGGATTATTATGTAGTAATGTATGGACGTAAGCTCATGTACCTATTATGTATCTCCTGGCGAGTGCCTTAGAGATGGAGGAGATGTAACGATTTGACTTTGAGATAGAGAGGCCGAGAATGTTATTGTCGAGTTTAATTTTACGTTTAATCCAATTTCATTTTGAATTTAAAATGACATTACTGTTTTTTTATATATGTGCATGCACATATTTGTTAGGGCAGAAAAACCCACAACAATCAATTTGCCACCTTGAAGGAACAGAGCACAATAACCTCTAAGTACTCGATTCTGAAATGTGCCAAAAAAAAACAATGGGAGTTATAGCCACTTCCATCCAGAACAGCACAGAATGAGATTAACTGCAAAAAAGAAAACGCAAAGGAAGACGAATATGTATCTTGGTTCTCATTTTTTACACTAATAATCAGAATAATCTTTGCAATTGATGAAAAATAGTGCCTTATCGGTCTTTGAGACGTCTCAAAGCACTTCACAGAATACACTGTAAAGTGAATTGACTGTGTAGTTTGTGGGTGAAACGCGGCAGCCAATTGCGCATAGCAGTGTCCCACAAACAATTGTGGATTGAGTGACCACATTATTATTATTTTATTTATTTATCTTTTTGATGGGTTTGTGAGCCCCGGAAAAGCGATCCGCCAATTGACAAACAACCAGATTCCTATTTATTGATAGGTGAACAGGCGTATGGAGTAAGGAAAGTTGCCCAACATCTCACACTGCCTGGGAATCGAACCCAGGTCCTCTTGTTTGTGGGTCGAGTGCTCCAATGAATATGCTACAATCACCACTTACATCTGTAAGAACAAGAGAAGAAAATGAAACACCGTAAATGTGAATGAAACAGTGAATCAAAATTTACCAAATGATGTATGTAATAACCCAAAGCACCCTCAGGGGTTGAATTTTCATACCTTTGGCCAGACATTTGTTTATTGTAAGTATATTTACCATCGCACCTTCTGTGGGTCATTCAAGGCTATTTTTCCAGAAATATTCCACCCCTCCTGATCCCAACCCTCAGCTCAGGTCCAAATCCCTAACTGTCCAGCACCTTGGGATGTCCTACCCATGTGAAAGGTGGTAAGCAAATGTAATTTATTGTTGCTGCTGCATTTGTTAAAGTTCAGCACAATAATATTTTTTGATAAATTCTACTCTTTTTTTTCTAAAATGAAAGACGGAGAAGGGAGACAGATGGACCCTGTAACGAAACGTCTTCCAATAGCACTGTGAAGACCCAAGAGACCAAGTGTGTTCCTGGATGAGTCGATCTTCAGTTCACCTCCTTGCTCTTTCTCAGTATCTGCTCTATAGTCAGCTGAGAGCACAAACCCTCTACGTGAGATATTGTGTTTGGAATTGACACATAACAAAAGGAATGTAGATCTCTTCAAAGGTAAACATTGCGTTGTTTTCTCACATTGGTTAAGAAAACACGCTTGAATGTAGCACTGTACATACAAGAAGAAAAGATGCATTTGTAATACCAAGTGCTCTTACTAATGTGCAACAATTCCTGAAGTATTGGANTTTTTTTTCTTACTTAGACTCAGTAAGGATTGTTAATTTAGAATGCAATTGTCGCTGTCAAAGCCAATATTTGCTCTAATGCTTAAAGATTTATCATTTATAAACTAATTTGAGGAGTTTGTTTCCACATTGTGGCAAAATGTAGTGTGGGAATACATCAGAGGTATTTTGCCTGGAATCAGGACACAATTAAAAACTATTGTAGCCCCAAGCTTGCTGAGCGCTTGTTTTTTGTTGACTTATGAATAGACTGCCACCTAGTGTAGTAAATATTGACTCAGTTGTAGCATTCTCAACAGAGACTTAAATCAATCACTGACTGACCAAAGAGTTTCATGTTGGAGTGGAAAGAGGAGAAAAAAGGGGCAGATTGATTGAGTCCTAAAACAAGATGATTTTTTGGGGGTCAGCCGGGTGTCTGACCACTACCGTGCTTAAGAGTATCCAAACCAAGCTGAGAATTCCATGCATCCCACCTACACGCGGGAATTCCAGAGATAGTTTATTGGAATGGAATGCGCAATCTCTTCCCTGGAGGGTTGCATCCTGCATACCTAATTCCGGAAAGTATTAGGCGCAGGTTGGCAAGAGCCAAGGCTTAGATATGGGTGACACAGTGAACTGGCTAAATGCCTTCTTCCAACTCCTAAAGGCAGAAGTTCTGTTGGGAAAGAAAAACTCTTAAACATTTTATTTCATTTTAATGTGTTCATTAAATTTAATTGAATATGTTTGGTGTGAGTTAACATTTTGTATTGGATTCTGAAAGTAAATGGAGAGCTGTAGCTTTGGATGCACTAAGGCAGCACCACAAGAGTTTAGAGCTGCAAAGGACAAGTTCAGCACAGATACTAGGAAGTTTTTCTTTACCAGATGGATAATTAATGATCGGAACAGGTTGCTAAGGAAAGGTTGTCAAGGCCTGGACATTGGGACTCTTCATCTAGTCTGATCTTGTGCTGTATATCAAGAGATGTTGATAATCTCTTGATATACTTTCATTGATTGTCCCAATCAATATGAATGCATCTTTTCCGTCGGCTGCCG